TGAAATGTGTAACTGTGGGGGGTACCTTTTCGACTCCGAAACTGCTCGACTTTCTGACCGCTGTCGCACGGATAAGATGACAGACTCGAATACGCCCCAATCATTCGAAGCGACGTCTGTCCCAAGAGCTAGTGCAAGAGCAAGTGAGATCTATAACCTCCATCTAGCCTCAAAAGAGACTCAATTGCGGCTTCGATGTGATAGGTCGAAGAGGAAGAGAGGGAAGGGAGGAAGTAAAGGAAATAAAGGAAATAAAAGAAGAGGAAAGAAGAGAGAAGATTCCATGATGGTGAGTCTAACGATGGCGATAGTAATGATGCGGTTAATGGCGATGGTGATAAAGTCGATAACGAAAGCGATGGAAATCCAAATACAAGGATAAAGTGCTACATCTCCCACTCGACAATCCCAAGATAATCTCTCAGCTGACAGAGAAATGCTCTCTTTCGCATGCCCCATCCTTCCTTCATCTGACAGCATAAAAGCTTGTCATAAACCCTTTTTGCAGCCGAATCATCCACAAGAGGCAAGAAAAGTATTGCTCTTCGCCTGCATGTCTTTCACCACCCCATCCGTCAGATCTTTTGTGCTCGAGGAAGGAAGCTGTACTATGATACTTTGCTAAGCCACGAGCAGGATCCGTAGAAAAGTATGGAGTTCCATGTAAATGGAGATAAAAGTCATCTCCGGTTCTGCATTTCTTGGTAGTACTCTCCCGGTCGAAGGTCGTCTTTGGAAAAGATTCCACACGCGAGTAAATTTAATGTGAGTTTACGAAATGTCCGATGAATCTATCGACTTTTAATGATCGTCGACTCGATCAACTATGTACGATCGATGATGTAGGGAATAAAATTACTCTCCTGTCGATCGTGGATTAGATTTGGAAGCGCAAGCGAGTTTCATGTCTCACGCTGACGTCATCTGGGATCACTCAATCGACTGATCATCAGGGTCTGACGGTCATCGTGGTCCTCCCCCCTCGACTCTGTGATCAGTCCTAAGCACTTTTCTGTGATTTTAGTTCTGTGGAATGACCAACGGGTTTTATCACCCCATTTGCGGCCTAAAAAGGGAGACCGATTTTGGTCTAACAGTTGCTTCACTGCTTGAAGCAGTGTCCCTTGAATTGGATAGACTTGGCCGAGCGATCCACTATCTCTTTCATTCCCCATTGGAGTCCATTTTCCGGATGGATTTGATGTGATGGCCGCTAGAGCCTTCACCTCATCTGCGCTGTCATGGCGATCCCGCCGGAGCTCGTTCTCCATGACTGGAGGCAGATCGAAGTCAGAGGGACTCGAGTCTGGAGCAAGCGAGGGGTGAGGCTAAATGTTCCAGTTTTCCGAAACAGTGACCGCACTCCCCTCGACGTGCTGAGGGGGAGGGGAGGATACGAGGGAAAATGACTCCTGATGCCGCCTACTCCAGTGGAATGAAACGATCGCTTTGGAACACTGGAGCAGAGAAATTCCCTCGCATGGAAAGGCATCCGGGAAAACGGGCTCTGTGAGGGAATGAAACAGATAGGGTCTATCCTCTTCTAGGCTCCTAGAAATGATAAATTGTGCAGACCAAAATTGGTCTCACTTGGGTGACAGAACTTTTAGATCACCCTTTTTCCTTCCGGTAAGGCGGTCTTCAGTTCTGCCAGCATTAAGAACTGGTGCCGGAGACCCTGAAGAGGCATTCTCTCGCCCTCAGAGAAGTCAATATCTTACTTTCGTACGTTCGCCAGGGAGCTCTAATTTAGTCAGTGCATACCGAGTCATGAGTAGGGGAAGGTGGGGCAAAATGGGGCGAGGGTCAAAACGAGGCAACTCAGATTTTTACCAAACCATACCCGATATCTATCGGATAATTACTGTATTACAACCCCCACCGCGGGTGTAAGTTTTCAAGCACGGCGGTGTTCTGTAAAGTAGTTTGTAAACATTCTAGGAGCAAAATAAGAAAACAATTACTTTTCCTGTTTTGTTTGATTTTGTTTCGAATTTTTGATGAGCGAAACAAAGTAACATGGGAACATTGGAGGTGTCCGATATATTTTTCTTGGCTAAATGTGAAAATGTGAAATATTACATGGAGTCATAATTTTTTGCATAGGTCACTTACTTTTTTTTGGCAGTGTCTTAATCATAATCAGTGCTGGTGGGGCAAAACGGGATCACGCTGAGGGGGCAAAATGGGGCAGTATAGCGGCTCTATATATATCTCTTATATCTCCTCTGCCGGAATATCCATTATAACTAATTGCATATGACAAAGAGAACTGGGCTACAAAACATTCTTCTGTGTTAGGGTAGGCCAGAATGCAGAATGACGGCTGGAACCTGTATTATTGGATCATTGTCAGTCAGTATGTGAGGTGTTAATATTCAGGAGGCGAAAATGGTGTGAAATCATACTAGAAACAATGATCGGCAAACCTAGTCATCTGAAATTATGGCGAATACTACACAAGCAGTTGGGAACAAGGAAATAAGCTACCGTGATGCTGCAAAAACTTATAGTGAACCGCAAACAACTCTTGAGTACCGTGCAAAAAAAGAACTTGGCTGGCAAAGGCAGCAGCAAACAAAAGTCTCGGCAGAATGAAGCCGATGTTCACGAAAGAACAAGAACTTGTTCTTGTTGGTCACGTCCTTGTTATGGACGATCGGTTATTCGGTTTCACGCCAAAGGACCTGCGAAGGTTGGCATACCAACTTGCAGAGGAGAACAAGTTGGCCCACAAGTTCTGTCACGATTCTGGTATGGCAGGAAAGGATTGGTTTCAGGGCTTCATGAAGCGCAACCCGAGGCTCTTGCTCCGAACACCTGAAGCGACCTCAGCTGCTAGGGCCATGAGCTTCAACAGGGTTTGTGTTGGCTTGTTCTTCGATTTGTTAATGGAGATCATCGATGGAGATCACCGATGAAGATCACCGATGAAGATCACCTCACACGTGACAACTTATGCAACTTGGATGAAACCTGCATTACCACTGTTCCTGAAAGGAAATCACGTTGGTGCTCTGGGCTCAGCAGTGAGGGGTCAACTTGTTACCTCTGAACTCTGCTTCAGCGCGTCCGGATGCTACATACCCCCACTTTGCATCTTCCATCGTGTGCGCATGAAGTCAGAGCTCCTGGATGGGGTACCCCCAGGGAGCGTTGAGGAGTGTCATAGCGGTGGCTGGACGCAGATGCACATCTTAGCTTGGATGAAGCATTTCGTGAGCGTCGTGAGGCCGACTAGTGAAGATCCTGTGCTCCCCCTGGACGGGCATATGACGCACACAAAGAACCTGGACGTGATCGATTTCGCCCTTGCGAATGGCATAATATAGAATGTATTCCGTCGAATGTCGCCTTCATGTCCCCCATGAAGACCTTTTATGGCCAGGAGGTTCAGATGTGGTTCCGCGTCCCTGGACGAGTTGTGACTCAATTCCAAGTGGCTCAGCTCTTTGGTTCTGCTTACGTGAGAGCTACAGCAATTGCAACGGCTATGAATTGGTTCCGAAAAGTAAGAATCTGGCCACTGAATCCGCAAGTCTTCACAGACGAGGATTTTGTTGCTGAGGAAACAACTAAACGACCTGCTTCAACAGATATTAAGACAGAAGATGGGGGTGCGTGGATGGATGGTGGATGGATGCTGAAGGTGGTGATGTCGTGGATGGCATTGATGCTGATGGTGATAACCAAGCTCTTGGCCTCCAAACTGCTGGTCCTTCTAGGCCGGACACCTGACGCCACTGTTTCTCAAGCTACGATAAGCAGAACAGCCTACGTCATCTCCCCATAGGAAGTTATTCTCTTGGCACACGTTGCTCAGGTCCCAAGGCGGAACTCCGCCGGGGTTAGATGACGGAGACAACTGCCTTTCTAACGTCATCGCCTTACAAATAGGGGCTGACCATGAATAAGGCCACAAGGAAGGCGAAAAAGGCGGAAGTTGGTGATGCTCAAAAAGAAACTGGGCAAGAAGACAAGCAGGCTCAAGAGGCCGACTCAGACGGAGTCAGATCACAGCGACTGTGAGGCAAAATGGGGTATTTGACGGCAATTTTTAGAATTGTCGGGGGAAAAAACCGTCTCTAATTTCGCAATGAAGTTGAATCCTAGTTGTAGGTAAGACATGAAAGGTACCTCATACCAATCCTCAACGTGCTACGCCAGCTCCTTGGTACTAAATTTTGGCAATATTCCTTAACTGCCCCGTTTTGCCCCACCTTCCCCTACTTTTCAATGTTTCAGTAATATTTAAGTGCTTGATAATTTCATGGAGTATCACCCTCTCGAGCAAAGTCCTTCGGGACCTCAGTTTTCAAAAGCCGGAAAACACGGAAAATATTGCATGCTGCATGGCGAAGGCTGCCCTTGCGTCTGAGTGACATGACGAGGAAGCGAAGGGTCACGTGACACCACAGACGCCCTCGCACGTCTTCATTTGAAGTTCTCGTTTCTTTCGCCATACCTCGTGAAATATGCGTTTTATGCAGATTTTTTTTCCTGTACCCACGGTCTCTTAGATGGCACCCTTTGGGAAACGATGTCCCCTTTTCCCGCACCTTGGTACAATTCAATGTAGTCGATAGGGTATTAAGGCCCAATAACTGAAACCTCATTTAGTTAACGGTCCTTTAAGAATCCATGGACTCTTATGAGGGGGGGGGGGGGGGGAAGGAAAGAGCTATTTAGCTTAAAGATGTCTTTATCTCCCCTAAATGTGACCTGTGCATTCAGGCGTACGCCTTCAGTTTCTCCTTCGATACATTCTTCGGTGAAAAACATCGGGAGAACTTTAATATAGCCACAAGAATAAGGTAGTCTTGCAGTTCCTGTCGTCTAGCTAAGCACAGGTAATCTACAGCGTTTTTCAGTTGAGTTCTATCCTTCTAATCGATTTCAATTTTCATTCAACTTCGAAATGTTAAAATAGACCAGAAACGTCTGCGTGCGCATCAGACTCAAACAGAAAAAAATAAATATATGACTAGGTGAGGTCTGACCTGCTCCGGCGAGGCGACCCCGAGCGACGAAGACCGACGAGCGGAGACGAGCAGAGCGGCGAAGAACAAGGCGATGAGGAAGAGGAGAAGGAGGAAGATGTGGTCGAAGGCGATCAGTGCGGTCGGCATGCCCTCCATCCTCGCATCGTTCGCTGCAAGGGAATCGCGATTCCGTTTTATGCTCGTCTCGTGATTAATTAATCCCGCTGGGCTTAATCCTAATGGGCTGCGAGCGACTGCAATCGCTGCAGCTGCGATATGCATTCGAATGTGCTGGGCAGGGCGAGTTGTCGGTCGTTGAGGCTGGTGCGGTGGTAAGGTTCATTAAGGGGTCATAAGTCACAAAGTCGATTAGCGAAGAGTAACAATGGTTCTGATTTAGAACATTTTCTTTGCCAAAAAATATGATTATCTTGAAAAATGAAGGTTCTTTTCCGCAGGTCTAAAAGTTTAACTTCCCACCAAAACCCAAATTTCCCAAATCCAACCTTAGGTTTTCTACTACATACTGCATAACTTGAAATCCTGCAGGATAAATGCCGAATGTGGGAACACACGCTCAACTATCACTTATTCGGCTGATATTTCGAAGTTGATCAGTTGAATAACTGATACTTCGAAGCGCCTCAGCTTCCATGGCGATGTTTATTGTATGACCCGATTCGATGCGAACACAACGCCCGGACCGTCATGCAAAAAAAAAAATGAACTGCCCGTTTCAGTCCATTTACAGATCACTTGGATTCTGATCAATTTTGCATGAAAAAAAAACGGTGAGGGAAAGGAAATGACGGCCCCTCCAGGAATTCCCGTTGGATAATTTTCCCGCTTTCCCTGGCATCTGGCCCGCTTATGCCAGCGAGGGCAGCCAGCCGAGAATAACCGCCTTCTTCCACGCGATCCGACGGTGGTCTCGATCGAGATACGAAGCAAAATGAGCGGTGCCAAGTACCATTCGTCTGAAATCTCCAGATTATAATTTTTAATCCAAAGGGCCGTCCCGTTCGCAAGTGTGTGACGTCACTGACTCGGATTCTCGGCTGAGAAGGCGAGTGAAGTGGCCGTTCCATCTCAGAAAGTGCTGAGAAAGTGAGTTCAGAGCTTCGCCTTCGACGACCCGAGAAAAATTTTTACTTTTTTTTTATTTGTAAACGTTTATTGCAAAGACTAAGAGGGAGGCTGAGAAGATTTGATTTGAGATTCATCTGCTGCGAGGCCGATCTCAAGTGGCAATCAAGTGGCAATCTTAGAGAGGGGAAAGAAAATTGCTTTTTTTTTCATTGCCAGTCTCCGGGGGACTCTCGTGCATCCTCGACGATTGCTCCTTTCGAAATTACGAATATATCTATCCAACAATAACAACAACAAAAAAAAATCCATTAAAAAAATTCATAGGAAATGCTGATGAATCTCGATCCAGAAGCGTTGAGGCAATTGAGGACATTAGAACATTTGAGGATGATTTCCACAACTGCATCATATGCATATTATTTGCTAAAGTGAGATTCTCGCAAGTGGAACTCTCGTTTCTTCCGAGTCTGGTTCCTTCAGATGCTTCTTCAATCTAGATGCAAACTGCAAAAGAGTAATCAAAAGAGTCATCCGTGGATGCCTCTTTTGCTAACTTTTTTCTTCCTTCTGCATTTCGGCGCGAATTTTTTAAAACTGAAACGTGGCATTTCAGGGACTCTGTCTAAATGTTCGACCGTGCGCCGAAACTCTTCATCAGCTGCCTGAGCCGGTCCTCAAACTCGTAATTTCAGATCTCAAGTACTAGGTACTTTGCAAGTACGTAGCGTACAGGATTCGGTGTACCGAGACACCTTTGCAAGAAAATGCAGCGTTTCAAGCAAGAAGTTATGTCATAAGCATGACCACGTGATTTATTCTGATATTATCATTCCGATATTATTCCAATCCAACTTATCCCGCTCAACCTTCTCAAAAAAAAAATTGAAAAAAAACAGAAACAGGAATTTAACAGGTTAAAGGTTTTTTCCTCCTGACGGTTCGCGAGATATGAATTTGTTTTTTTATTTTGTTACTTGTCGCATATGACCCGCCTCGAAGTATTTCCATAATTCTGACCGAATGTACCGACCCCATTCAAGAAAGTGCAAATAGAAAATACAAACGTTTCAAGTAAGTGCTTGCAATTGGCGGATAAATGAGGAACATGCGGAATTTTGCCAATTTAACTTGGAACCAAGTCGCGATGTTCCGGGCGAGGTTTTCTCTTCCTTCGATGATGGATAGCTCATCATCTCAGAAATTTGGACCGCACCCAGCAGATGATTTCCCTCGCTCCATCGCCACGACGATAATCGGCTTTTCCCAGCTCCGACCGCATGCAAAGCTTCCGATGCCGCAGCGCTCCAGACGGCGATCGAGGCGGCGATTGAGAAGCCGCTTTTCGCGGAGCGTGCATCGGTCTCTACCCTTGACTGTGATTTCTCGTAATCTCGTAATTCCCTCCGAGTTGGGCTGGCGTGACGCACCTGGCCGACACGAAATGGCCTCACGAGATCCTGCTCGTTGCCGCTTCCGCGAAAATCTGCAAAAATCTTCCGCAAAACCCAGCGAGGACTTGTGTAAACAGAGACTGACTGTATATGGTCTTTGCTCTGGCAAGTGAAGTCAATTAATGATCGTACGATCATCAATTGTTGTCGCATCGGCCAGATGGATAATGTCCTTAACTTCCTTCCTCCCCCTTCTCCTCCCTTCCCCCTTCTCCCCCCCTTACTTTTCTCCCCCTCCCCCTTCCTCCCTTTCTACATCCAGCCTTCTAACGGGGGCTGGGACGAAAGGAAAGATAACCTTGTTAATGACCCGCCGAATCATAAAAAGAGCGAAAAGATTGATTTGACTATTAAGAGCCTCCTCCTTTCAACTCAAAAGTTATCCCTTTTAAAGTAGGCCCATCAGGTTCGGAATATCAAAGGAACGAAGTCGATAGCTTGTCCATCTATTGACTTCTTTTTTATCGTAGAGATAAACGCCTCTAAAGTTTGGGTCGATTATGGAGACCTCCGAGAAGACATTTTCCCAAATGCCCTGAAATTGCCCTCACATCGCCAGAGCGTCTCCGGTAAAGGACGCCAATTAATGACCGATCATCAATCGACGCAAGAGACTATCCCCGTTTCTGGTGGCTTCGTATCGTCGGGCGAATATTATTTAAAGTCCTGATTTAAGATTTTAAAAATAATTTAGTCATGGTACGTTCGTACCATGTAACATCAGCAAAATTATTTTCCTGACGTCGCAGGTTGCACATTAATTTCGGAATGTGTGGATGAAATATGCGACTCTGCAGATTTATTATATCTTTTGTTTTACTGCAGTAAACTCCGATGAAGTTCATGGGTCCCAAACTTTCAGTTTCGGACGCGAAACAAAATAATCCTCACCCGCTGAAATATAAATATTCGCTCGTCACCCGCGCGAAACCCACTCGAAGCCACTCGTGAAATTCCATTACATAAAGACGAAATGTCAAACGAAGGCCATTCGAAAGCGACCGAGCCGATCTGAATTCACCCTCCCAGCACACAAGCGAACCTCGCAAAAGCCCCCTGAAGAAATGTTCCCTCTACCCTATGCAACCCGTGCAACCTAAGCAACCCCGATCCTCGACCGATCGAGACCGCCCTGACGGAAAAATCCTATAGGATCCAATTATTTTTTATGCATAAAAATCGTATAGGATTCCTACAGAATTCCTATAGTATCCTATATAGTATAGCATCAACCTCCTTCCGTCCAACTCGACGTTCTACCGCGAACCTCACGCTTTTCCGCTCGAATTTGCGATGGATTCTCGCGGGAGCCGTCAGGATTCATCGCTGAAACGTCGGGATGTCTCGTCCCTATCCATGCGATCTGCGTTAGGTTTTTCTCAAGATCGCTCTTTGATTAAATTTGAAAATCAAACGACTGGAATATGTGTTTTAAAACGTTGCAATTTGAATAGGATCTGCGGACTTCCAAAGAGTGTATTTTCGGAGTCTTCAACGGGAAATTTTTTTCTAAAACTGAAAAAAAAAAACCTATTCGTTGCATCGAAACTCGCGGAGAGAAGGATTGAATCCATAAATAAGAAGTAGTGATTCGCGAATGCATTTGCCGAATTCGCTAGCCCGAAACCCCACCAGAAATTTCCCATCCCCAGGAAACAGTGTGCAAACGGCATGTCGACCATCCGTCAACGTCGACCCTGGTCGACCCTGTCGTCTACGCGCCAGAACCAGCTAATTCCGGATCACGACATCGCGTTCCACCAAGCATAAAACCAAAAGAGTAAAAAAAGAACCGAAACGTTAAAATCCCCTGGAACCCCCCGCATCCTCACCTCGAAATCCAGCCGAAAAGCCACCAGCGAAGCACAGAGACAAAACTAGTAAGAGCGAGCGGATGAGAAAAAGAGACAGTAAGCGGAAAGGCGCAGTGGGTATTCATGCTCCCCCGCGACTGCGCCTCTTTTATGGCCAAGTAATAGGATGAGTCGATTTCCTTGCCTCCATATGGAGGACGGCACTCCAATCCCTCCTCCTCCTTCTTCTTCTTCTCTTCCCCATCACGAGGAATTAAATCTTTTCTTCCTCGGGATCTCCTTCGGTCTCAAATCTGATTTTGATGAACGACCGAGAGCGGTTCGCCGCGAAAAGGACGCTCGATTTCCGAGTTTTCTTTTTATTTACGAGCAAAAGATATGCGAGCAAAAATTATATTCCAGTTTCTATTGAAACTTGAAAAGGGTGCTAGAAAAATACAGGAGTTGTCGATCGAGAAAGTGACCGAACCAACAACCCTGCACAGGGCCGGACAAAGCGAGAGGAATCAATCTTCGTCCAGACTTCGGGCTTTCCCCTCTTTGCTCTCGCTCTTGAATTCCAAACGGAATTAATTATGCAATCGCTCCTAGTCGAAAGCCACTTCTGGCAGGAGCAACGACACAGATGCCAGGCAGGGCAAAAAAAAAAGAGACATTTCCTGAAATTTTCCTCGACGTCGCAAGGGCTAGGAAACAATTATTGTCGTCGTCCCAGATTAGATCCCGGCCATTGCCAGTAGAGGCTGGAAGAAGATCGGCAGACTTGATTAAGTGCATTGCTCGGAACAATGGGGAAGGGGGAGGGAAAAACGACGAGAGGATGCTGGCGCGGCACGTTTTGCGCGCCCAATTAACGATGGAGCGACAATGCGTCACGGAAGGAAGAGGATCCCCCGTAGAGGGCAATGCATCCCGTGAAAATGCGTCGCGGAAGGAGGAGGATCCCCCGTAGAGGGCAATGCATCCCGTGAAAATGCGTCGCGGAAGGAGGAGGATCCCCCGTAGAGGACAATGCATCCCATGACAGCGGAAGGCATAAAGCCCCTATGATTCCGTCGTCGGAAGAAAACTCGGTTGCAGGGATGAACTTGCCTGCATAAGGATGCCTATCCTCTTTGATCGCTTCTGTTCCGCATCGTTTTGCCCGCCCAGTCCCACTCTTCACGGTCCGCTAATGGAAAAGTGCTGCTACTCTTCCACATCGACAACAAAAAAAGTTTCTGGAGGCCACGGCTTGCCGATGGAAAAACAAAACTGCGCGAAAACGATGGCGCGAAAAAGGAATAATTCCGACAACGTTCGCGACGGATTCCTGCTTCTTCGCCGTGGAAGCGAGAAAATTTTTTTTCTCTTTGGCAGGGTATTTCATCCATATCATCCATGTCCATCATCCATCTTCCATCATCCGTGTCATTCATCATTCATCTACATAGCAAAAGAAGACCAACCATTAACCTTTATAATTCTGCACCTACTGGCACCATTTTCGCGCAACTTGGAGTGAGCGTACACTGATTTGTTCTAAACATCCCTTCGAAACTATATGCATATTTGATCAGCTCCGGCAAGGCTACGAACGATTGTGAGAAATCAGGAATAGAACATGATCCGGGGACTACAGCAGGGACCCCTGTTAATTTACGATATCAAACTCGTTTGTTACCATAATTGCTAATAACTTCATTAGGTATTGTGAATTTTATAAATTTTCAAATGTCATTCTCAGTAAAGTGCAGGTTTTGTGAAAATAGCAGTAGTAAGAGCAGAGATTCTTTGGTCAAGTGCCAAAAAATCATCCACATCTTCCCTCTATAGCAAAATTATTGCGCAGCGTTGAGAATCTAATTGAAAATGCAAAAATGTGCACGGCACTTCCGTTGCTGTGCAATGTTGGCGAGGAGAGCTGATTTAGTTCCGTTTCGTGAGAGTTTATTATCGGCCGGCATCGATCGGCGTGGATTTCTTCATTTTCATCAATTTTAATTAGATTGAGGCATCCTAATACTGAGAGGCTTCTAGATATTCAAGAAATCGGGCTTGGACTTTTTTGGCCCTTATGGCCGCGAAATTAAGTAATATCCGGAAATAATCTCAAATCCGGATGAGAATATAGATTAGAATATCCCACGGAAATTTGGGGATACGTTGTGACTCATTAAGTGATGGTGACATTGAACGGGACTCGATGCGGCTATCGCCAAAAAAAGGATTGCAAAATCCGAGGGAGAAAGTCCGTGTGAACAGCCAAAACTTGCGGAAAACCGCGAGGATCGCGAGTCTGTCGTTCCTTTGGTGGCGGGATCAGCAGGAATGTGAATATTGGGCTGAGCCGTCTCTCCGGCAACTCTCGGAATGCAGCCGAAAGAGCAGAAAGGGTCAGGATATGTCTTCATGTGAAATAGAGAGAAGAGAAGGAAGGCAAAAGTTTCGGCCGAGATCCAGCTCCGAGGGGCATGATGGCGTTCACGCTAGCTAACGAATACGGAAGAAACGCAATTAACGTAGAAATAGCATTCTTTTCCTGCATTAATTTCACGGGGATCTATGCTGATCACGTGAAAGAAGGTGGAAGAGCGGAAGGGAAGGAAGGAATGAACTGGCTTCTGCTGTCCGCCTAAGTCTGGAATCGCGTCTTTACCGCAGGTATATGGGGCATAAAACAGGGTGGCTCATAAGTAAATTTACCCGAATAATCAACCGATGGTTAAACTCCTTTGCTCTTTGGCAAGTCTATGAGCAATTCCAGCAGTATGCGAATACGGTCAACAGCAGGATCTAAAAAAAAAAAAAAAAAAAAAAAACAGATAATAATATCATATACAGTAACATAGGTAGCAAACCTAGATTAACAAGAAATTAATATAGCTGAAAATTATTCGATAAAGTTCCTTTTGGCGCATCCTGTACATGAATGTACCAAGTGCAGAGAAAAAACGCGCCGCTGTTGGAATTTTAAGTTTGGAAAGACGGGGAAAGCCACTGCTTAGCGCTTGTCCCACCTGGTGTGCATCAACATGCTGACAATTATCAAAAATTTTCAAATTGTATTTGAACAGATTTTCATAAATTTCCGTCCGCTGGTTTAGCCAAATAAGCACAAGTCGGTGCACACTTTCGTCCAGAAAATACGCTTCAATGTCGCCAAGTCTGCCTAAGACAACTGCATGATCGCAACTAACGCGATTGATCAGTCAATCGCAAGCTATCAATCGTAGAGGCTGCCTTTCTCGGCGTGAGGGCGGGGATAGAAAAAATAACTGGTAACTTTCAAAATGCTTCTGTAGCTAAACCAGGAGAAAAACATCTGAAAATTTGTTCTATGGAAGACAAAAATGCATGGATCCTGGAACAAACATTAATATACAGTAGCAACTGTCGATTTCTTAACATACAAATCCAAACATCGACTCTTTTTTTTTCAGTACCCAGTATACTCGTATATTGCAAAAATACGAGCCCTCGTACTTGGTCGATTTTGAACTTGTGACGAATTTAGTGGGGAGGACCCGACTTAAAGGAGATCCGGAACGGTCCGACTACCTTTTCAGTGGACCTTCTTTTCTGAAAAGGAAAGGGATGTTTTTTAGTTCTGTTCGTGTGCGGTGTGTGTTGCCACTCGTTATTTTTACGTCCAGCAACAACTGAAATGATTGACGTGATCGCTCTGAAATATGGGATGAAGAAAAGGACAGGAGACAAGTTATGTTCATTTGTGACAAATTTTGTTACGAAAATAGAACTTAAATTTGCAATTTAGCAATTGCTTCCTGCGGTAATGACACAAGCACCTGCTAACCACCTCGGATCTCGACCTCTTGAGGCGCATGCGCAGTCTGAGTCAGGGTGTCACGTCACCGACCGGAGCTCCCAGTTCCTTACCAGCCTCCGTAGCAGAAGGATCCATTTTGAACAGAGGGAGGGAGGAGAGACACCATGGACAGGGTTGCTAGATGAACTCGTGCTGCGGTACACGTCTTACTTTTCTTCCATCTAGCAACCTTGACCTATCTGCCACGTTCTCCTGTTTCCAAGAGACGTTGAGGGGACGCCGATTGTTCGATTGAGCCCGGCCGGCTTAATTTTTTATTCATTCCTTTCAGAAGCTTCTCCTCTCGTTTCTCATCTTTCATTAGCCATGTTTTCGTGTCCCGGTCTACGTTCCCAGTCGTTACTGTTGCGCAGGATCCCCTCGTGGGCTGGGCATTTTTCTTCACTTAAGTGGTCCTTCGAATTAAGGATGTGAGGACGATGGCAGGTGAATCCTGGAGAAATGGCTCGTCCTTGCTGCTCGTAACAAATGGAGCGCGTACTTACGCGAACGACTTGGGAATATTGATGTAACTTTTGCGTCACTTCTGCTTTCACAATCTTTTATCTCATGTATTTTCAGTCTTTCATAAACTTTCATCCGATGAAAAGACGTAGATCGTTTTCTCCCCCGAATAAATTTCAGGCTTTTCTGCTTTCTTTGTGCGTTTGTGCTCTTAATCCTTCCGTTTTACTCTTTTACACTGTTGTGTCGAAAGTGTTTCATTTGTTTTCTCGGCGAATTATTCAATTCCGATTACATTTACCACTAATTCCAATTCCTATTCCGCTCCCACTAGGAAAAGTCGGATCAGCCCCACCAAGGACTTTTTCAGCTTCTGTTATTCAGCTTAGCAAATTTTTTTTCTATTGATGCCGGAATTAGGATCGAGAAGGCTTTCGAGGACTACAGTATTCCAATTTTACTCGGATTCACTCTCCGCGTTGAATCGTCGATTCCTATCCCGAAGAAGGGGAATCCTTCTAATGCCACAATATTGTCATAGGCATCGATCCCCGTCGAAGTTCGGCTTTTTCCCTAGAAACTGGGGCGAAATCAATCCATGAATCCGTGATGGTGCTCGGAGGGCATCGAATCCATACAGGCGTGGAAACCGGCACGGAACCCGAGCCGAACGAGGTGGAAGCGGATGACCCTTCATGATCCTTTCCCCACAACGGTGCCTGTACTCCAAATAATCCAGTCATTTTCGGTCCGCTGAAAATGTCTAGATCCCCTTTTCTCGATATGCGATTTCTGAAATTGC